ACCACGTGGGTCTCCACGCACGGATTTCCACTTACCAAGTGAGCACCACACATTGTCCCATTGGCTCCTCACCACAGTCCTGGTTGGTGGAAGGTGAGGTTATTAAAATCTCCATTTTGGGAATCCCCATTAAGGGGAAACTGAGGTTACTCAAGTGACTCCCCGGTGGCCCACAGCTAATGAGTGTTGAGTTCAGCTTTTTTTTTTTCTTCAAGATTTTATTTATTTATCCATGAGAGACCCAGAGAGAGAGGCAGAGACACAGGAGAAGCAGGCTCCATGCAGGGACCCCGATGCGGGACTCGATCCTGGGACCCCAGGGTCACGCCCTGGGCCGAGGGCAGACGGTCGACCACCTAGCCCCCCGGGTGCCCCGAGTTTAGCTCTTAAAACCTAGACCACTTATTCCTAATCCACTACACCTTCCTTTTCATTAAGTGTTAAAGGTCTGTTTTCTGGGTACGTGGGTTTTGAGTCGTGCTTTGATAGCACAGGCTCAAGCTGGACTTTCCAAAGCTCTAAGTTTCTGTATAAAATGACGGGTCTACGATGCGAAGGCTGTCCTGGCGTCCTGCAGGCCAGTGTGCGTGCCTCTGGGGGAGCTCTTCGCGTCTGTCCAGGGCTGTCTTTTCTCCTGCAAAAACGGTGGGATGAATACATGACCCGTCTTTACAGGACAGGGTACTTGGAGATGCTGCATATCGCAAGGTTTGTGAATATAAAATATGTTCATCACTTTAGAGCATGTCATCAATAAGCATTTATGGAAAATATTTATATTTTAATTTACATATGAAGACAATAGTTTTTTTTTTCTTCAATAGGGTTTTTAGTAAAATTGCAAGTGGATATCCTTGGCTCTCACTCATAGCCGTATTTTTAAACTTCTCACCTGTCTCCTAACACATGGACAAGAAAGGTCCTCAGTTTAACACAAAATACAAGATAAGCAGGTGCTGGGCATGCCTGCAACGTCAATTCAGTGTAATCCTTTGTTGTTGTGTACTATAAACTGGGTTCGGGACTGAAGCAGTGTTTATACAAAAAAAAAAAATACAGCTGCCTCAGTCTTGAAAGCATTCCAGTTGTTTCAGGACACTTTGGCTTTTTATTTTATAATTTGTGGTTAAACATTTTGACCGATAAAGTGTTTTGTTGCACTTTTAACTGAGGTCCAGCATCATGGCTGTTATTTATTTTTATTTTTTTAAATATTTTATTATTTAATTCATGAGAGACACAGAGAGAGAAAGAGACAGAGACACAGGCAGAGGGAGAAGCAGGGTCTGTGCAGGGAGCCCAACGCGGGACTCGATCCCGGGACCCCAGGGTCACAGCCTGGGCCAGAGGCAGACGCTCAACCCCTGAGCCCCCCAGGGGCCCCCATAGTTGTTTTTTAACAACATCATGCGACAGGAAATATTTCTGCCACACAATTGTACAAGGGGTGAATACGCTGAAGTATTTAAGAGCGTTTAAAGATCTAAATGTGAATAGGAGAGGAATCGGGGCACATCGCCACTAAGCGTACTCATACGAGGAGCCCCTATAAAGGAGGAGTTTTAGTTGATTAATTCTTTAATAGGGTCTTTGTTGTTCTCTCTGCTGGGCTAATTCACAACGAAGCTCGAGGAGACTCTGGTAGCCGTGGCGTTTTATTTCATCGGGAAAACGAGAAGTATTCGAGAGAGTGGTCGATCTAAAATGCTATGCGTGGGGCAGCCTGGGGGGCTCAGCGGTTTAGCGCCGCCTTCAGCCCAGGGCATGACCCTGGGGTCCCGGGATCAAGTCCCATGTCGGGCTCCCTGCAGGGAGCCTGGGTCTCTGCCTCCCTCTCTCTGTGTCTTTCATTGATGAATAAATTAAAGATCTTTAAAAAAATAAAATGCTATGCGTTGAAATAGTAGAGGATAAACGCCGACCGACCGAAGCCGAGGAGCCCCGGTGAAAGCATGTTGAGCTCCAGGCCCCACGCTGGCCTGTTGGCCATGTCACAGCCGAGCCTCGCAGCTGGAGCCGCATCCCTGCCGAGGCTGCAGCTGATGGGCTCGAGGTCCCGGGAGCGGCGGGGCTGGCATGGGAGTCAGCAGCTCGGACTCCGGGGCCAGTGCCCCCGGCCCCTGCCAGCTCTGTACAGTCGGCAGTGCAGGCTGTCGGGGAGGACGTCGGTCCCCACGTGTGGAGCAGGGACATGTTCAGCCTCCGCGGGATGGCGGTGAGCGGCCAAACGACAGGCAGGAAGGCGTTTCCCATACGCCACATGTGTCCTTTTGAAAAAATCTTCTGTATCTTGATGCGTTTTCTGGGCAAGGTCTTTAAGGTCACCTTGAGGGGACAGTCCGGGGCTCTGGGGGATGGGGATACCAGTGAGACTTTTGAGTTATCGATACTGTGCACAGATATGATTTTAAAATCCGGTTAAAAACGACGGTGAAGAACTAGTGGGGAAAAGTAACCTGTCCTAAGCATTCACAGATTGAAAACCTTTACTTTGGAGACATCATCTCTCTGTTTTCAAGCATAAGATACGGGACGTTAACACCGCCCCAGAGAGCAGCTGGTCCAGGCACCTCGTGCTGGGCCTGGTTACACCACCGATCGGGCCTGGGCAGCTTCCTCACGCGTCATCAGCAGGCCCAATCTTCTAAGCTATAGAATGAGGAGAGGACAAGTTGTCTTCTGACTTGAAAAACTAGTGATTCCGAAATAAGTCATAAAGAAGCACTTAAAAAAAAATAATACTAGCCCTTTATCTGATGTGTCATTTGCAAATATCTTCTCCCATCTGTAGGTTGTCTTCTAGTTCTGTTGACTGTTCCTTTGGCTGTGCAGGAGCTTTTTATCTTGATGAAGTCCCAAGAGTTCATTTTTGCTTTTGTTCCCCTCACCTTCATAGATGGATCTTGCAAGAAGCCGCTGTGGCCAAGTTCAAAAAAGGGTGTTGCCTGTATGTTGGCAAATCCGACTCCACTAAAAACATTTACGTATAAAAAAAAAACTTAAAAATTTTAAAAAGGAAGAAAAATAAATAATAAATAAAAATAAAATAGAAAAATACTAAGTCCATTGTTAAAACTAATAAGCCATTAAAAAGATGTAAAAAAAAAAAAAAAGAAATGACAAATACCCACCATTTGCTTCGACGTGGATGGACCTGGAGGGTATTATGCTGAGTGAAATAAGTTAATCGGAGAAGGACAAACATTATATGGTCTCATTTATTTGGGGAATATAACAAATAGTGAAAGGGAATAAAGGGGAAAGGAGTGAAAATATCAGTGAGGGAGACAGAACATGAGAGACTCCTAACTCTGGAAAATGAACAAGGGGCGGTAGAAAGGGAGGTGGGTGGGGGGTTGGGGTGACTGGGTGACAGGCACTGAGGGGGGCACTTGACGGAATAAGCACTGTTTTTTTATGCTATATGTTGGGAAATTGAACTCCATAAAAGATATACCAAAAAATTCTTATGTTTTAATTATTTTGTGATTCTAAAAAAAAAATGAAAAAAAACTAATACGCAAGTTCATGAAAAGACTGCCGTCCTGGCTCTCTGCGGGCAAGACGCACGTGTGTCCTCTCAGGGGCACCTGCTGGGGGCAGCGGGTTGGACTCTCAGCGGAAGTCACGCAGAACAGGCGCTCAGTCACTGCCTGGTGCGGAACCAGTGTCCTGGCCGTCACAGCCCTGGAGCGACGGTTCTCCATTCAGGGAAACAGGATGTGTCAGAGTCAAATGCAAGCCAAATCCAAGACTAATCACTAGACTATGTCAGAGCATCTTTTGTTACTGATTCGTGGAGATCTATCAGGCATAGGTTCTTCAGAATTTTCTATGATCTTGGACTCCATGGTTGATAACCTAAGTTGGCAAACTTACTCTTGTAAAGAGCCAAATAGTGAAAACCATATGCTTTGCAGGCCATATGTTCTCTGTCACAGTAACTGAAGTCCGCTGTCCCCAAACCAGCAGTAGATATTACGGAAATGAGTGTGTGTGGCTGGGCTCCAGTAGAGCTTTATTTACGAAAGCAGGCCCTGGGCCATATTTGGCCCAGGGGTCGTAGTTCGCTGAACTCCAAGTTCTAATAAACTCCCGCCCTAGGTTTGTCCCTGCCCTGCATCCTCTCCTCTCTAACTCCTGAATGTGGGAGCACATGCTTCCAGGCTGCAGCCCCTCGACCTTTGATCGTCCCTTTCTGAATAACCTCGTTTGCAAGTGGAACATTCCACCACATGGTCCCGACGCCAAACATTTTCGTTTTACCGATTGCCTTCCTTGTTTCTCTTCACTCTGAACCATTTCCTGAAGACAAGTAGCTAGTGTTGTTTCTTTTGCATTCCTTTGCTTATATTACCATTTTTACATGATTTCAACCTCCACCCCCAAAATGTTTTGCTCACATATCTTCTCTACCTAGGGAGTTGTGGGGAGCCTTATTTAGGATCCCGAAGACATGACTGGTTAACCTCTCGCTAACCGCAGTCTTCCCTGTCTTAAGTGAAGATCACCCACATTTAACAAGCCACTCTCAACGAGCAAAAGGGTCTGGAGGTAGAATTAGTCTTGGCAAATTATTTGCGAAGGCAGATGTTGGTCTCTGAACTGACTGCATTCCTGGAGAGACCCCTGCCTTGGCCGCGAGAATTGGGAACAGGCCTCGCCTGTGGTAATAGCTGGCTCCGGTCCTAGACGGTTCCCTCCCGACCGCGACCCGGCTCGCAGCCGTGTCCTGTCCCTTGACGTACCTCCCCGTCTCCATCTCTCCTCTCCCGACACTTCGAAGTTCTCAAACTTCACATGCTACGGGCAGACCTGACGCTGGCACTGCCCTCCACTTGGATGCATGAAGGCTCATAGGTTATTGAGATTTACTACGTGCTTTAAATTCACTGCTTTTCCTATTCAGCAGTTTAGCCGTAGCCCCGGATAAAGGTGATTTGTGTGATCCGTCTTGCTTTATGTCTCACTTGACATTCTTTCTGCCTTTTTCATGACAGGTTGCTGAATGCTATAAAGCCAGGACTTGTTAAAAAGATCAATAGATTGCCTACCCCCATTGCGGGATTGGTGAGTATCCAGAATTGAGATTTATTTTCCAATATTCCTTTGCTCTAACCTAAGGGTCATGACAGTGCCATTTATTACGGCTCTCCCCTGCAATATATATTCCACTTGAATGAGGAGGCATTGAATGCATTAGGCTGAGAGGTCACTTAAAAATGAAAGATCGCAGTTATGCCTAAATGGCATCTTAATCTTTGTTTGTATCCTTCCCAGGAGTGATAAGGACCTTCATCCTTAAAAGAGGTGAATTTGTTTTGGGGTGAGAGGCTGATAATTAGGTTGACCCCAGGGGAGGAATGTGATTGTAATTATGGTTTCCTCATTTCAGTTTTTCCACTGCACTCCCCTGGGAGAAGAGGAGGGGAGGGGAGGCGGAGGAAGAGCATATGTCATGATTTACAAGCAGCGTTTCCATCATAAATTGCTGTTTTGAACCTCAAAATCTACTTGTGTTTAAATACCACATTTGTAGACCAACTCTTCTAAAGACCCGATGGACACTCAGGTGATCCTCTGGAGAATTGTTGGAGGAGAGCCCTTGACCTTTCTGGACCCAACCATTGAAACAGACAAAACTCACGTGTTCCCGTGTGGTCAGAAGCAGGATCTTTTAATGCATTGCTGTGTTTCATAATTCTTGGCAACCAATGATTATTTTAGTTGATGTTGCCTTTTATGTAAAAAGGCGGGGGGAGTTGAAAGATCAACGAGACAAACATACCTTAGTTCTGGAAGGAACATGCATACATACACACGTGCACAAAAAGCTGAGGATGGCTGTGGTCTAAAGACTGTTTCCATCGTGGCCTCCTTCTCTGCGTGTGGTTTTGCAGAAAACAATTAGAAAAATGTCAGGAATTTAGACAGGCTCCTGCATAGACCTTACTGAGTGTTGTCAAAAAGGTTCTTAGCCCTGTCAGGATGACTAATTGAAATTAGAGGTACCCTCCCCCCTCGAAAAAAATCGTGTTTGAGAACTGTGAGGGTCATGGGAATAAGGTACATGGTTTCAGCAAGTTGAACAAAGTAGGTTTGTTTTTAATCGTACGAACTGATATTTCTGTGGACCCATTTTATTTCCCATACTACTTAGTAGTGAGCTGGTAATTACTTAGTAAAAATCCTTCTAATTTTGTGAGCCAGGTAAGATAACAGGTGGATAGATAGATGGGTTTGGAAGGAATAGATTTGAATGACTTTATAAAACAAATAATCTCTGTATCTGTATTATATATTATGTATAGTAATGGGTATGTATATTATTTACATTTTTTATTAAGGTTGTTTCTTCCAAATGTTAGAATCATAGTCTTAAGGATGTTACACATATCCATTTGGCCTCAAGTCTGTGGCATCTCCTGACCTTGGAACTGTGGGATTTCGTCCGTGTAACAGAAGCAAGTAGCCCGGAGTCCAGAAAGTTAAGGAGAAAAGGGTTTTGTGACTGATTCAAACGTGAATTATAAATAATTTTAGAAAAATTACAGGTTTAAGACATGGGCATTGATCTTTACAGTATTTCTTATCATGATCAAAGTGTTATTCTTTACGTAGCGCAGAAATTTGATTCAAGAAAATAAGGGGCCCTGGTTGCTTTCCTCCCATTTATATCCTTGACTTTTATTTTTCCTCTTGCCCTTTTCATTTGAATTTCCTTTCTACTTTGTCCTTTCTGTGATTTTTCCTCTTTCTTGCCTTTTTCCAAGTGACACGTCCTCGCTTACCTTCGTTCCTTATCACTTATATCTTCTTTACCAGTTTGTTATTGTGGTACTGTCATTTGTAATAAGAAAAGTATATTTGGTCTTGTCCCTTTCTAGCACAGAGCTCCTAAAGCCCTTGAAATTTCCTAAGCATTAGGAGCCACGGGAACATCTTTGTAATAATACTTGGTCTTTTATCACTGGTTCCTGAAATAGCTTGGGTTCAGGGAAGTTTGAAGGGGTGTCTTGTTATTCATTACAAGCCCTTTTCAACTACACCTGGCTTTATGTTAATGAGGTAAGCACCTCATTATTGGGGCTTGGGAAGCCCCAGGGTGGGGGGTGTTGGTTGTCAGGGGAACCAACCAGGTGATCAGAGGGTTGGAACTTCCAGCTCCACCCCCAAACTTCAGGGAAGGGAGAGGGCTGGAAATGGAGTTCAGTCACCAGTGGCCAATGAAGCCTCCATAAAAACCCAGAAAAGGGGGTTCTGGAGGGCTTCCAGGGTGGTGAACCCACGGAGATTTGGGGAGAGTGGCAGTCCCAGAACGTATGGAGGTTCTCTGCCCTTTCCCACATACCTTGTCCTGTGTATTTTTTCACGTGGCGATTCACCCGTGTCCTTTATGGTAAACTGGTAAATATAAGTCCACGTTTCTCTGAGTTCTGCGAGCCAATCTGACAAATTAATCAAGCCCAAGTAGGGGGTCATGGGAGCCTCGGATTTCCAGCCCACTGATCAGAAGCACAGCTGGCAGCCTGGCTTTGGGATTCCGACCTGAAGTCAGGAAGGGAGCAAGTCTCATGGGACTGAGCCCTGAACCTGCGGAATCCAACACTATCTCCAGGTATATGGGGTCAGAATTGAGTTAATTGCATGACGGTGTTGAAAACACACACGATAGAGTTATCCTGAGTCCCCCTGGAAAGACTTACTGAAGGGTAGTTAATTGCTACCTGTTTGTTAGTGATTCCTGAACCTGCACATCTTGTCAAATGCTTTTCCTCTCCTACAGTCACCTTCAAAACAACATTGCCAAAACCGAGTACAGTAGTCAGGGACCTGGTAAGAAACCAAGCTGTCACCCTCTCTCCTGCATCCCCTCGTCCTGTTGCTGTCCTTCTAGATTCTCTCTTCCTCCGCTCATGTTCTTGTCTGACTCCGTGACTCCAGCTCTTCATAGCCCTGACCCAAATCATCATCCCTCACCACATTTTTTTCTCCTGAACTCTGACCTCTTGTTCTGTTTATTGGACAGCTCCACCTCGGTGTCCTACCAGCACCACAACTTAACATTCAAATTAGACCTAAATGACCACTTGCACCCACCAATTTCCCAGTGCCAGTAAAGGCCTCATGGACATGCAGTCGCCCCCGTTCAGCCCTCAGAGGATTTGGCAGCTTTCCCCAGTCTGCTCGTCTGCATCTGCTTGGCCACTAGCCAAGGCCTCGAGGAGGCTTCATCCCTTTCCTGCATTATTACCGTCAACCCACAGTTCCTCCAACAGTATTCACTCTAACGCACAGTGCCTTTGCTCATGACACGTCTTGTGAATATGACGCTTTCCCCCTGGATTCTCAACACGATCCTATTTGTTTATCAAGATCTAGTGGGAACCCACTTCCTTTGTAAAGCCTTTACCATTTACGGTGCCTGTGACCTTTTATTGTAGAACACAGTTAGCATTTCTTAGTTTAGGAAAAATGACCAGTAGAGAGGTAAAAGATAGCCCTGTTGAAGTATGCTTCAGTGAGTAAGATTTTGAATAACCGTTAGTAGCAGTTTGAAATAGAAGGTGGGCCCACGGTTTAGTATTCATGTTAAGACATTGTAGCTTTAGTTTATTGGCCATGATCAGAGTCACCAACATGCATAATGGGTACAAACAACGTAAAATACTGTGTCCTAATGATGCTGTAAGAAGTCACAGCATCACCTGGATAGAAAGTCTGCCAAAGTAATTGGCCTGAATCCAACTCTGAGGAACAATCGATTAGACAAGTCCAATATGAGGAGACATACCGTGAAGACACCTACCCTTCTCAAAAGGCTAGAAAAATGGTCACAGAGGAAAGATGACCTAGGAGCCAGGCCAAAGGACGTGTGATCCTTGGTTGAGAAGCAGCTATGATAGACATTATTGGGACAATTGGAGGATTTTGAGTGTAGATTGAATATTAGATAAGATATTCTCTCCGTCTTGAACTTCCTGCATGTGGTAACTCTATTGTCAGAGACAGTCGTGCACGCAGGGGAGCACTCTGGATGTTAGGAGGTGCTTAAGCTGACGTATTCAGGGATGAAGTGTCGTAATGTGTATGCTAGTCTTCAAATTGTTCAGCAAGAAGAAATTTGTGTATATACTGTATAATTTTATATAAGAGAGAGCGAGAGAGAGAGCGAAAGGGAGGGAAGTTGGGAAATGTGGCAAAATGTTGGCTCTGGAGAAAGGAGATACAGTTTTCATGGTACCCTTCTTGCAGTTGCAAGAAGGGCTTGGAGGGCTTGAAAACTTGCAATATAAAGAGTTGGGGATGAAAAGACATTAGTTCTCTTGTCTCTTCCTGAGGGGTCGGGGTGGGAACCGCGTGTAAGCAGTGGACTTGGAGATGGCGAGGCCCCCGCGGGTTGCAGAGCCGCAGTCTCCTACGCGCGTGTGTCCGCCGCATGGCATCTTCTTCCTCTCTCGTTATGACGTCGGGAAAGGGCAGACCGAGCCCCCGCGCGCACCTACACACTTGCAGGCTGGTTCGAACTCGGTCGGGGGGCTGACAGCTCACTGACCACCGAGGGCTCCAGAAGTCCTCAGTGGCCGGGCCTGTGGAGACCCGGGAAGTGTGGCTGGAGGGGTTTTGAGGCCTGGAAGCCATGCCTCGGTGTCTTAATGGCCTGGTGTTGAGAAGAATCCATTAAGGTGGCCCAGCTGCTCGACTTGAAGATAAATGAAGAAGTGTGTTTTCACATAGCAATCCCAAATTATAAACACGTGCACATTCACAGCGGCATGAATAGGTGTGTTCTAGCCTCCGAGTGGAGCTGTGGTTACCAAGCATTCAGGGGTGAAGGTGTTAAAACAAAGTAGTTGAAAATGATTTCCTGGCAGGAATGCAGCGACCCTGGATCCGGGTCTGGGTTTCTTCGGTAACGATTGCTGACATATGAAGCCGAGGGGTGACCGCCTACAGATGCTTGCATTCTTTTTTAGGTGTTAGTGATACTGCTGGCTCTTGCCAGTGAGAAAGATCTCGAATTTAGGGCTTGGCATACCAGAGACTTCTAAAAATGCTGCCCTTTAGTC